TGAACAAGGATACACTGTTCAGTAAATATTTTGGGGTTTTATTTCATTTTATGCAGCAATGACTGTTTGACATTGAATCAATCAGTTTCTAAAAACAGAAAAAGGAGTAACTAACCTAGGCACTTCTTACAGAAATTTTACTTTACTTCTTTCATGCTTACATAATGCCTGAGGTAAATAATAAATGCTATATGTCAATATTTTTTAATGTACAGTATGATCAACGACAATAACAGAAAATTGTGGGTCGAGAAAAACAAACTGCCTTCTATTCAAGTTGTAGTCTCTCTTTCTACTTCCCATACAGCAAGGAAAACAAAGCAAACAGGAGCAACACTAAAATATGCTTCAGTCTTCTGCTCTATATCCTTGCTTAATATCTTTACTCTTCTGTGCTGCAATCATATACCTTAGCAGCACTTGAAGCTAAAGCTTCTTGAAGTACTCACAGTCTTGGCAGAACTTTATAAAGGAATAATAAAAAAAATCTTTTTAAAACCGAAAAGTGGGATTCCTTAAAATTAACTGAATGGAATTGTTGCTGATTTCTCTGTTAGAAGGAAGCACCTCATTTCTGCCTTCCTGAACAATTTATAGACTTGTATATGATAACAGAATCCTTGTTCTATAACCAGGAAAGATACATAGTGGTTCCATATTTCAAACTAGTTTTTAACATTACAGATAAATATTTTTAATTCCATACTACTTTGCAAGCCATTCCAAGAAATCTGCATGCCATTCTGTAACTGCCTGTTATAGACTATAACAGGGCACTCAGTTTGCAAATAATTCTATAGCCACCACTTGCAAGATCTAAAAACAGTCAGGTGCCTTTACCATGAAACAAATGGACAATAAAGGGAAAGCTATTCCATTTCTGATATCCACAGAGCATGGGAAGATCATACACTTTATTGGCTTTTATTGCCTTTTCACAGAGCACAGAATGGGTCAGGTTGGAAGGGCCCACCAGTGGGTTATCTGATCCAACCTCTCTGCCCAAGGAAGGCCATCCTAGGGCACACTGCACAGGATTGTGTCCAGATTGTTCTTGAGTATCTCCAGTGAGGGAGACTACACAACCTTTCTGGGCAACCTGTTCCACTGCTCAGTCACCCACACAGTAAAGAAGTTCTTCCTTATATTCAGGTAGAACTTCCTGTGCCCGAGTGCCTGCTCGTTGCCTCTTGCTGTATTGCTCAGCACCACCAAGAAGAACTTCGCTCCATCCTCTTGGCAACCTCCCTTCAGATACTTACAGACATTGACAAGTACCCCTCATAGTCACCTCCTTTCCAGGTTGAACATGCCCACCTCCCTCAGTCTCTTCCTCCTAAAAAAGATGCTTCAGTCCCCTAATCATCTTTGTAGTCCTTCACTGGACTTGCTCCAAGAGCTCTATATCCCCCTTGTACTGAGGCTGTGTCCAGGTCTGTGTCACAGCACTCCAGAAGTGGCCTCACCAGTGCTGAATAGAGGGGCAGGGTCATCCCCCTCAACCTCCTGGCAATGCTCTTTCTAATGCATCTCAGGATACCACTGGCCTTCTTGGCCACAAAGGCATGTGTATTGAACACTAAAGATTATTAATAAGGGAATCAAAGCACTGTTTCACTCATATGGTTCTCAGCAAAAACATTCAAAACAAAGATCTCCAAAATAAATAGCATGGATTCCTCTTGTCTGGAAGGTGACTTCCAGACTTCTCCTTTCAAGCCTTGTTTTCCTTCAAATTCAACATTTTCTTATGGGTGAATCTGTCTGGAAAGGAGCCAGTCCTTTATATACAGAAAATCAAAAGCAGTTTCCAGTTAGACATTCATTCTTGGTCTAGACTCTCACAATATTCATCCTAACAAGTGAAAGTTTAGCCTGGAAGGTTTCTTGATTTACTCTAGTAACAGAAAAAAGGGTCCAACATTTTGTCTCTGGTAAAGCCTTGAAATGTTATCATGTTGTAGATGCCTTTCCTGCTCTTTTCCTCCTCACACTGTGAACTTTTAACAGCTAGAAGCTAAAAAATTTATTTATATTCATAGTTCTTTGAGACTCATTTACTAAAAACTGGTCATAGTGTAGGAACCTAAAAAAATATAGTAGTATCTGTAGTGTATTAAACAATGTCACAGATAGAAAACCTACCAAGTTTGGCTGTAAAGATATGGACACATCTGCAAAAATGTTGCTGTTCTGTGCTGAAGAAATTATTTGAGGCAGTTAAGCTGGATTTTGTGAAATAAGCACACAAAATGAATACAGACAGACACTTCTGCTCCTGGAATTACCAGGACCTTCCGCTGATCTTCCATATTAAGAGCTGCAATACTTTGTGTTGAACTGTGAGTAAACTGACTTCCTTCTCTAGATGCCATGTTGCAAGAGGCAAAAATGCTAAGTTGGGTCTGTGACAGAACCATTGCAGAAAGATTCAAAGAACGTATGAAAGTTATATGTGCATCTTTTGCAATCCAGTCACATACACTCCCAAGGGATGAGTAGGCCTAAGCATACCACAGATCTAACTCACTCTACTCTGTTTTGCATTTGATTAAAGCTGTTAATTCCTGTTCACATCTATGGTATATACAGCACCTACGTGAGGTACAGAGGAACTCTTTCCCGTAAAGACATAACTAGATGGAGTGTTTTCCACAATGCCACTGTTGCAGACTGTACAAGGTGAAAGTAAGTTTGCAAAATAAGAGTTTTGCAATAATAATCTTCCAGACTAATGCTCTTAGCACTGAACTATCCTGTGTCTTGGAAAGCAATACAGCATGCCATTGTACTTATAGCCATTCAAAATTTGAACACTGCCAAATTTTCCTTATAATGCCCTGTTACTCTGCATGCTTCTTGCTTTCTCTGATATTACCCCTTTATATAAATCACAGTCGCAACATGTTCATGAGTTCTCATACGTTGCCAGTTTCAGATTATATCCATAAATCTGTTCCTGGGGCCAAATGTATTCCAGCAGTTGCAAAAGCCATATATATGGTTGGAGACAATGCTCAATTTTTATATATCATTGGGTTTTAACTGAAATTGAAATTTACTTAAATTGTAATTTTACAACTAATAGTATATATGCTTTGTTCTTGCATGTCCATGTGTATCACTTTAAAACAGTATCTGATGCTAGTGTTGTCTGAAGTAACACTGAGCTACTATTACTGCTCTTACTATGGAGCAAAAAATAGGCAGCAAAGCTACATATGCCTTACAAGAAATTGATTAAATAATCAATGGGACTAGAAAAGAAATGGACCACATTCAGTCAGTTTGGACACTTAGACACCTCCTCTGCCTTTTTCAACTGCTATGGTGCTAGGCAGAGAGATGAGGGCTGTTGCTTCTCTACAAAACCCAAAATGATAATTTTGGTTTAGAACAGTATCTTTCAAAAAATACATGCCCATTTCATGATCAGAGAGTCTTATAAATGCATTTCAAGAAACTACGAAGATAAAGAGTACTATTTCCACCTGAATTTTCATGCTGTTTTTTGCTTCCCTCCCTTGCTTTCCCCATCTCTCTTTAATTTGCAAAACTTCTAATAGAATATAAAAAAATGTCTTTTTATGTTCATTTTCAACAATGTGGAAGCTGTACATAAAAAGTGTTCCTATCAGTTAATAAAGGGAAAACCTTATCTTGGGAAGTTAAGAACAAGTCCATGGTGCTGTTAAAAATATCAATCTATCAATCTTCCCATTTTCATTGGCTAGACTGGGAAGAATTTTTAAAAGGTAACATAAGGAACAATCATGGCATTAGAGATAAGAACTTTAAATATTGAAAAAGTTTGCTTATGTCAGACTACCTCTAAGAAAAAAATACATATATACTTAGGGTTATTATTTAGGGTTATTATTTGCTATATATGCACATAGTGTTGCTAGTTGACTTCAAGAGTAATGTCAGTACTGTCTGTACTGATTAAAAATAGCTAATAAAATTATAAATTGTTTTTTAATAAACATTCACCTCTAGAGAAAAACAGGAGAAATCTCCTTGTTACCCTAAATTGCTTGGGATGGGAGGATCAAGAAAAAATTACTGAATTACACATTTCACAGATTTTCTTCTAAATTCTTTAAAGCCTTTTTAATCATCTTCAATTCCTGTAAAAAGACACCTAGTAGTTAATTTTTTTAACCATGCAATGCTACATAATATCAAAATACAAGACAGTAATCTTCAGTCAAAAAAGCAGCCCTGCAAACTATAGAGTGTGATATTTCATGAAGTGTCTTCAAATGCAGTGTCCATTCATCTCCAGGTGACAAAATGAATTGTTCAGGTCATTTGATCACTAGTATTTCCTCCCGTGAGTATTATCTAGACAGTAGACTTAGCAGTACATTAATATCCTCACTCCTGAATGATAGTCAAAAAAATTCATTTTTTCCTTTACTGTTCTCAAAAACTTCTTATTGAAGTAAGAATGCAACTCAGGAACTCAGGTGATATATATCCTAAGTAGAAGAAGCCTTCAGCTTTTTTATGATTGTATTTTGTGGGAGAAATTTTGCAGCAACTTAATATCATCTGGAAACCGTTCATGCAACTTTTCAAGGTCACTGTTAGCTAATTGGGCAAATTTCTGTGTAAATGCTGATCACACAAAGCTAAGCTACCTAGGGCAGCCCTAAAATGTAAATCGAATACACTCATAAAGTACTTTCTTTTGAGCAGTAATTGTTATAATAACTTGTTCTGTGTGGCACTCCTGTTTCACTTATTTCTTACTTATTTTCTTCACTCTAATCTGTCAAACCCTGTAATCTCCAATTACCTTTTTGTGGTCAAAAGCTACAAATGTGATATTCAAGTACTATGTGAAAAAGTTTATAATCAACAGCATCAGAACTGCAGTAAGGTCCATTTGAAAAGAACTGTATTTAACCTCGTTGGAGAGAAACCTCTCTTTTACAACAACACAGTACTTTGAGCTCAATGAAGTAAATTAGTCATGCTTAGAAAGATCTTACCACGTAAAACAGTGAGTCTTGTGGACACACTTATTTCACCAACACTGTTGGAAGCCACACATTCATAAATAGCTTCATCCCGTGGCGTGCGTAGTGGTTGTATTCTGAGAACTGATCCAGATCCATCATCAAACTCTATTACCTATAAAAGGAAACAAAAGCTGTCACAGATGTTGTTACAAATACCTATCCCTCAGTTAATCTACTCATGGACAGCGGTCTGTGGGTATACAAGTCACCAAAGCAGGTTTGCTTTTCAAATACATGTACCAGGACAAATTCCACCCAGATGGGAAAATTATGCAATTTTTTCTAAACTCTTTTTTTTACTTTCTCTTTTCCTTTTTAAGTTCCTCTGAGAAAGACTCCTTAGTAACTTAAAGCAGATTCTTCTAATTCCTATTATTTGAATTAATTTGGAGGAAGAAGAAAAAAAAAAGACTCCTCCTGTATCATGTTCATTCACAGTATATACCTGCACCATAAATAAAAGGCAAAAGATTAATAGAGAAGACCCACAAGGTCTTACTGTTATTCTAATCTCAGAAGCAACTTATAGCTCTCACCACTATTCTAACTAAGTTGTGAGAATTAGTCCGTGACCAAGAACATTCAATGATAATAGTCTTCAAATACACAGTCAAGAGTAAGGAAATAAACTGTTCGTTCCCCGAATGCTACGTACATCAAGTAACAGCAAAAAAGTTCAGGTTCCACATGTGGGAAAAATAATCATAAAAAGGTTCACGAAAAACTGTAGCAGACTGCCCAAGTTTATTGAAAGATGAAAAAAAAGTAACCCCCAGCATGGCTGGGAAAGCACATGGTTCAGATGTCCCACTGAAGTCCTTTCCAGCTGTATTTACTAGGCTTCTATAAAGACAGGTGTCCAGGAAAAACAATTTGATGTCTTTTATTATTAAGTAATCATACTCAGAGAAATATACAAAATATTAATGTGAAAGAAGAGGAAAATAAGCCAAACTAATTATTGTCTTATTGACGCAGCTGATAATCTCAGATGTTGCTTGTTTTCCAAATGTTTCATATGTCTTCTATGAATCTCATGTCTACTGTTGTTGTTTTGTTCTTATTTAGAGATTCCATGTAATGAAATAATGGCCTTAATTTGAACAGGAACGAATGCTATTTAAAATACTGATGTGCTCCACAGACTTTATAATTGCTCTACTCAGTGGTCATAATAAAAATTATAAAACACTTGGCAAGTAACATCTATTTTTTTGAAATACATTCCATCATACTTGGCTACACAGCTCATTCAGCAGTCCACTAGAGGCGTTTTTAAAATATTTTAAGGTCTTTTTAATAGTTACATTCAAACATTTTTATGGAAATAAAACTACTTTATTTTTGCTTATTCTCCCTAAAAACAGTTATATACATACTGGGAAAAAAATATATTAAGTGAATAAACCACGACATAATGCAAAATAAAACACAGTAAACATATGCATGCCCAATCTTTCTCTGTTTAGAATTCACTTTGAGTGAAAGTTCTGTGAACAGAAGAGGATAAATTGCGCAGAATTTATAATAAAATTCCTGTGTTAATCTCTCTAGCCAATTACAGCTCTGCATATGCTCTGCAAAGTGCAAACAGTCCTTGGCACTAGGAGGTAAGATCATGATTTTATTTTTCATGTTGTAGTAAATACACAAGCAAATAATCGTATTGGCTAATGAACAAAATCAAATGCCTTTAGATATTTTTTTGATCAAAAATTTAATAAAATAAATTTATTTTATACAATAAATGCAATTCTTCTAAATAAATCTAACCTGAAAGCCAGGACAAGTGATCTTCACAAATACTACTAAAAATTAACACAGAGGACTTCAATATTAAGTCAGCTTCTAATATATTAGGTCATTTGCTTATAAGATGCATATCACATCTGTTTTATATATGATTACTAATCTTCCAAACAGTCATTTTTAAGACAACAGAAGTCTGTTATTTAACATTGAAAACAGTGAAGAGACATAGTGAAAATTATACACTCTTAGTGCCAGTTTTGGTATCTATTCTGAAGGTTACCCCCATTTTCTGTGTTTTTTCTTCATGTTAAAGATTAATCTGCATTTGATAGTAATTATTCCTGCCACTACAAGAGGGAATAATATTTATTTTTTTATTTCCCCCAAAAAAATCAGAATCCTTTGAACAGATTACTTTTACTGTTTCCTTTAATTGAATGTTGTGGAGACAAATAGCTTTCTCTATGGCTTTTTTCTAATTTACTGTTAAGAAAAGAATCAAAAGGAAGCAAGTTTTACATTTCCTCTTCAGCAGCAGGAACCACAATGCCCCTTTCATCTCTTTCTGCAACAGTGGTAAGGAATGGTGGCAGCAGAACTGGCAGCAGCCTAGGCCTGCTCGATGCACTCTGTCACAAAAGGAGGTGACTTGCTCTTTGGATACAGCAATCACTGCTCAAGTAATTTCCCCACCATCTCCTTCACGAGATAGCAAACTGAACAGAGGCACCTCAAAGCTCCTCAGTGAGATTGTGTTAGTTTAGAAAACAGCAGTAGCAGTTTACTCTTTAATGGTGCTATGCGTAACTAGTTTGGAAAACAAAAATTTCATCAGACTGCTCCCACCAAATTACCCCTGATATTCATTCCTATTTTGCTAAATCACTGATAATAAAGCACACATAGTGGGATTAGAAGTGAGGTTGGAATAAAATATTTTTCAGAGGAACAGAACAATGGACCTAATACCTCAAATCTCTGATTGCTGACTTTCTTTCCCTTTTTGTTCCAGACAATTTTAGGTCTTGGATCTCCTGTGGCTTGGCAGATGAAAGAGGCGACTCCTCCTGAAACCCCTGTCTGGTCAACGGGAGTTCTTGTAAACTTTGGTGGTGCTGAAACAACCAAAAACATTAATCAAATTAATCTTAACAGTAAACATAAAAAAACATAAGCCATATCAAGATTTAAAAATTTAAAAAGAAGGAATGCTTTGTTTCTCCAGTGATAGCATTCACCTGCAAGAGAAAGCACTAAAAAAACCCTAAAAGGTCAGGAAAGTACTTACAGATTTTACTAGTGAAATTTATATTAAAACAGAAATCTGATGGAATCAGAATAGCAAGATCACGCATTATATTTTATCACAGTTATAAATAAAAAATCCAATTTGACTTCTATTGCAAAATGAGCTCATCAATCAACTGGAATATTATGATTCGCTACTTGATATTATGATCCCAGGATGTCATGAAAACAGAATTCTCACCTTTAAGACATTAAAATCAGTGACATTTAGGAGAAAGCATTTGTAAGTTTTCAGTAGTGGAGGTAAATTACTATGTATTAGGAGTCCACGGAGAAAGGACTGTAGCACAGGAGAGATTTATGCATGGGCACAGTTTCACGTATAGCTTCTGCTCACTTCCGAATTCTACTCTGTCAGAAAGAACTAAAGAAAGATCTAACTATTGCGACAACAGTAGAGAGAAATCATTCTAAAGGTATAAAAAGACATTTTAATTAATTATTCGCTTTCTTTTTATTTCTGTTACAACATAATTAAAATTATTTTATCGGTCTTGTGTTGAGACAAAGCTTTTAAACTTAGACATGACTTCTAAAGATGTAGTATCAAAATCTGTAAGAGTACAGCTAACCAGATAACAAAAATGTTGAAGAATTCCTGTAAATATTTAAACCATTCTTCTTCTTAGCTGAGTAATTTTTCAAAATCTAATACACTTTCAGATGCTGATTTAAATTATAGGAAGTGAGAACTTAGGGACAATAAATGATAAACCCCCCAAGTCTTTGCTATATAATCTTTCTCAGTAGCAGTTGCTCTGTAGCAGCTGTTGCTATTCATTTTTGCTCTCATCTTCAAGTATCAGCAGTCAGCTCCTTTATGTTTACCGCCTCTTCCCTTTTCTTCACTTTGCTCTCTTAGGTATAGGTATGTACCTCTACTGTGCTAGTTTTCATTTCTAAGTTGCTGCCCTTCAGTTCTGATGTCTAATCCCTTACTCTGCTAAATTGGTTTTTCCACAGGCAACATTTTCCAGCATGTTTATTTTAATGACAGAAATCCAGCAGATTGCAATTATGCATGTATGCAACATTGTAAGAAATCCTGAAATAATTTAACATGCCAAGAAAATATGATGTGGTTGTTACTATAAAACAAAATCAGTAGGTTGATGTTATGTTGCTGCATTCAATATGAGAGAATGCAGATTGTAATAGGTTTACAAAATAAATGAGTTTTTTTAACCTACTCCGAATGTAGAAAAGGTATCTTTGAAAAATGCAGTAAAACTATAATGTTCCTGAAAATCTGCAGGTTTTTGTGTTTTTTGTTTTTTGTTTTTTGTTTTTTGTTTTTTTTTTTGTTGTTGTTGTTGTTGTTGTTGTTGTTGTTTTTTTTTGCAGAGAAATGTTAGGAAAATATGTTATTTCTCAAGTTTTCAGAATGCTCAAGGGTCCTTGAACTATCTGCTCTTCTAATTTTCCTAGTGAAAATGTACCTAAATCCAAATGCAAGAGCAAATCTGAGCACAGCAAAATAGTGTGACATTACTGCCATGGAAAAATTATGAAAGAATTTCTCTGATGTCAAAAATTACCAAAATCATATCAAATAAAACACACTTAGAGCAATACAAATACTTCCCCTAGTAACAGGTTTTGTGCTTGGACCACAGAAAAGACAGAAACGTGTTCAGATGAAGAGCATCTGTGTTTCACCAAAACTGCTATCTTTGAATCCCTCTCTACGTGTGTACTAAATCAACACTCTGATATGTAAAGAGACATGACTGAATCTGATATATTGATATTGTGAGGCACAAGTTGTGACTGTGTGCCACCAAGTGAAAAATGATGTGCTGCCATTTTCGTTTTATTTTTTTATTTTTGACATTTTTTGAATTCAGTGTTAGAACTCAAACCAGTGAAAGAGAAACACTTCAAGTCCAACAGTACACAGTAACTATGTATAGTAGCTCACAGGCAGCAAACAGTGCAAACAGTAATAAGTGAAACTAAAAATTTTCCACCAAACAATTCCTGTTAGAGGTACAAATAGTTTTCTGACACTTTTTTCATGTAGAACTGGGTCAAACTTGGTAAAGGACTATAACTGCTATGACTCCTTACAAAAATTGCTTACTAGTTTCTGCAGAGATATATCTACACAGTGGAGTTGCAGAAATACGGCTGATAACCTACCATGGCGCAAGCTACCTGAACAACAATGTTTTTCCAGTCCTATGTTAATTTTTGCTGAACCAGCAATTAGTAAAGCTGTTGTTTCTTAACTAATGTTGCCGTGGAATTTTGATGCTGAAAAAATCTCCAGAGCAGTTAATTAGGGGTGAGATAAGAAAGGGTTTATTTTGCCAAGGTAAAGATGTTACACGACGCGCTGGCCACGCCTGAGATGTTACATTTTATAATACCATCCATCCAATCCCAGATGTGTCCACCCTGTGGCCTTTACTCTGGATCGCCCCGGGGTCCACCCCCTGAGAAATGGGTCTGGGGGTTTTGGGACCCCGTGTTCATCCCACCTTCTTCTTCATCAGAGCACAAAGGGTACCTAGTTACCTAATTCTTGACCGTATTCTGTGGTTTAGGCCCTGATATGCTGTTCTGCCAACAATCTAGGCCTTGCCTTGACAAAAGACTAAACATCTCTGCTGTATTCAGGAGTAGGATTGATAAAGGGAGCATAGAATGGGGTAAGAGGGTTAAGGAATGTATAAACAAGGGTGCTAGAGAAAGGGAAAGGAACAAGGGACAAAGGAGGGGGAGTGCTGCTTTTAAAATCTACTTCCACTACTTATAAAACTTACAAGTCTTACAAATATTAGAAAAATAAAAAAAACATTAGGGGCTTAAGGCATCACTAACAACACTTGCTACGAAGCATTAGAGGCAAAAGGTAAGTGCAGTTGTACATGATGCAATTTCTAATTTGTAGACATTTTTTTAAGGTTGTATGTAAAGACCACATTATTGTATGTGGAGACTAATACTGTCTACGTCAATAAAAAAGCTTCAAAATCCAGTACGGAAGGGAACTGTGGTGAAGTTTGTGTTTCACTTAGACCATGATGTAGCTGGTCAAAACTTTTTATGTAAGTAAGTAATTCCTGTAAAAAACATTGCCACAGCTCTTCTCCAGTACTTAATCATGAAAGTAAGACAGTTATCTTTGAGGTTACGTGATATCCGAAAACACAAATTATTATTAGAGCATATATAAATTTATCCAAACAGGAAGCTTATAGTAGTCCCATACAATGGCCATTTTCAGCAGTTCATCTTTAAATTATCAAAATCTAATATAATTTGGAAAACCAGCTAAATTCTCCACTTCAGGCTCTGCAGCTCCACCAGAAGGATAAAAATGTCTAAATGTTTAAACTGTGAGGATAAGCTAATTCATGGTTAAGAGATGGTCAGCCTATGGTCTGACAGTGGCCAGCCAGCCATGGAGAACGACAGGTATGCAATCCATCTTTTCATTAGTCAATCAACATGTTCACCTTATTACACACAAAGCGACCACCATCATTCTAAGGGTATGTGAAATCATAACCCAGCAGAACCAAAAATGAAAAGTAGTATTTGTTGCCTTTATCTTTATAAAGGTTGTTAATTAAGGTTTGACACAAATTATCTCCACAATTAATGTTGTCAGTTTCTTGACATTGATTCTGACCTAAGCTGCTAGGCACTCTGATAGCAAACACAATTAAACTGCACACACAGTTGTGCTTATTAACATGAGGGCAATTTTGATTGAGAACTGACAACTATTTTCAACCTCCCTTAACAACAGCAGTGCATAGTCCAAGAAAAACTCTCCACAGCACACTTCATTAAGCACAGCAACAATCTATATGGGAACCTTCCAGTGCAATTAAATCTGCCAAAAAAATAAGATGTAATATGTTACCAATATGGTACACAGTCTTCCAGCATTTTTGAAACTCTACTTGGTAACATCTCAGTAAAGCTGCAGTTAAAATAACAGAAGTATAATTAAAATAAAGCAGTAGACTTAATTTAAAATCGGCACCTCTTCTCTTGTGGGCATCATCAAAATTGCAGCATAATTGGCTATTCAATGCAAAACACCCAAGTTTTGTTTGTTTCAGCTTGTTCATATACCAGTGCCTACTCAGATATTCATGCCAATACTGAATGCAGATACATTCAATACTGAATTTAGATAGATTCCTTCGTCAAGAAAAAAAATTACAGTAGAAGATACCCACAGTTTGGACTTAGGAAGAGTACCATAAGCTTTGCCATCCAAGATCTGAGGGCTCCCACCCTCTGCTATTTAATAGGCACTTCTTGTTGGGATTCCTGAGAAGCTCAAGTGACAGCTATTGAACTACTGCAAATTACACTCCAATATATGGAGGAAAACTGAACCTACTGCTAGCTCATCTTAAATACACTGAGCTTTCATTTATTTGTTTTAAGGAGTTTAAACCCACAGAAGTTAGGCTACTGTTTCAACAGTCAAGCTGTCCCCTCAGGGGGCACAGGAGCTTCTCAAATAGACATACTTTAACACTATCCAGAAAGAAGTGGAGGTTTTTTGCACATCAAGACTCCATAAAATATATTTATAACAAGACACTAAAATAACTGGTTTGGATTGGAACATTTGAATAGCTTGGTACAAGCATAAGACATCTCTTTCTTCTCTTTTGCACCTCCACATTTCCTTTTTAAAGTTTAAGTAGAATTCCGAAGCAGTGAATGGAATTAACTAACTCACATTTCATCATGTTATGGAATGTTTTAAATTTGCTGTTCTGTTCTCTGTGCTCTGTTTTAAGGACATGTACTACTTTTTCTCCACACTCAAATA